CTCCCTCTCTCTCTCTCTCTCATCCCCTTTTGCCTCTTTCTTTCTTAAAATCCTTCCCACCTCCTCTGTCAGGCCTCCTCTAATCCCCCAAGGGACATGCCCACATCCTCCCCTGAGCTCTTGCAGCATTTTCCAGGGAAGACTCAGACACAGCTCAGAGTTTGCTTTGTGCCTGGTCTCTGCCCCCTCCCCCACTGCACTGGGAGGGCAGGACCTCTGTCGATGCCCCCCTACCAGCTTAGCAGGCTGCCCTGGGCTGGGGCCACAGGGAAGGTCCCTGGAGGTGCTCCTGGGCCAGCTGGAGAGTGGCATCCCCTCCTCCTAAAGCCCTCGCTGACCAGGCTTGGACAGGACTTGAACAGTCCCTGAGCACCCCCTTCTTCCTCCCCTGACTGCTCAGGACCCACCAGAGCCCAGCAGGGAGGATGTGTGGGTGAAGGTGTAAGAGACCACATGCAGGGACGCCTGAGGGGAGGTGCACGTGAATGCCCACGCCCAAGACACACAGAGTCACTGGGCTGGGAGCACTGAGGCACTCACAGATTCCTCTGCTCATAGATTTTCTCAGACCGCTTTGCACCTGCAAGAACAGGACCAGGTTAGCAAGCACCCCAGAGCCAGGGTGGGAGCTGAGATCCAAGGACCCCCTCATCCGTCTCCCCTGTGCCCTGTGCAGGCCTCAGACAGGACCAACACTGTGGACCGCCGGACATTGACAGGGTATTTCTCACCATTTATTTAGGAGAGCGAATGTAGAAAACATGGACCCTCCAGGCAGCCCAGCCTCCTCTCCCTTGTCCAGAGCCACCCCCTACCCCAGATATATACCCTTGACCCAGCAAAACCAAAGTCCCAAAGTAAGCCAGTTCCATTGTCTTCAGGGGCAATTTGGGGCCAGCGCTTGGGGGTGTCACCCCCTCCTTATGCAGCTTATCTGACTCCCCCTCCCCATCACAGCCGGGTCTGGGCCTGCGAGGGTCTGTGTACCCTGTGATCTTCACCATCGCACCCATGTCCCCGCCGCCAATACCTGGGCGGGAGCACCGCACACACAGGCTGGCCACCACTCCCAGCAGCAGCAGCAGGGCTGCTCCCGGCCATAGCAGCTCGGTCTCCGCACCCATGTCCACTTCTGGCCACTCTTCCTGCAATGTTACAACATGGGGCACCCCATGAGCCTGGGTGGGGAGTTTGCAGGGCAACCCCTCCAGGACCCCAACCCAGTCCCCACTATCAGGTTTCAGACCCCCACTGTCCCCTGACAGCCTCACAGCTGAGTTTAGGCTGTGAGAGTGCCCCTTCCGCCCTGCTGGAGGACCGAGCTGGGACCAGACCCATTTCTCTATCTGACCCCAGACCTAACCCCTGGTCCCGGGGGCCAGTATCAACACTTGATAAGTGCTGGAAGTTTTCTGGAGACCCACCAGACAGTAGGTACATGTGCACACTCCTACATACACCCACACTTAATCTACACAACTGCCTTTCAGGGAGAGGCTTGCTCCATTTCACAGATAAAGAAACTGAGGCCAGAGGTCTCACAGTTGCTAAGTGGAAAGACAGGATTCCAGTTCCAGCCTCCAGACACTAACTCTTTCTCTGCCCACTGCATCCTTTGCCTCCTGTGAATCCAGCTTTGCTCCCCAAGCTGGGAGTCCATGGACCCTTCTGCACAGAAGCCCCTAGCATGGCCTTCTGGGTAAGATCGGAGCGGCGTTTCCTTTCCTTAAACACCTGTGCGCCCTGACTTCTCTTGTCCTAGGAGCTGGGAGGAGGGAGATCAGGGAAGTCTTCTTGAAGGAGATGGGCCTGAGAGCATGGAAGGAGAAGTATGCTCAGAATAGAGGGGCCTGGGGCCGGCCGAGTGGCGCGATGGTTAAGAGCTGGCTTGGGACGCCAGAGGGCCCCGGTTTGGATCCCACATATGACAGTGACACTGCCCTCCACAGCTAAGATGCTGAACAACAGCTCAACCTGGAGCTGGACTGCTGTGAATCGCCGTGTGTGGCAGTGGGTTGCCATGGGCTACTCTGTGAAGCCAGCAGCCAGCGTGAGCGGCGAGCAGCCGCCATGAGCGGCCGGCTTCGGCGACTGGTCTGCCTCGCCCGGGAAGAGCGCAATGATGGTGCCAACTTGGGCCAGTGAAGCAACGTCCTCCACAACTAGACTGAAGAACAAAAGGACAGCAACTTGTCTGTTCCCCTTCCTCAATTCCCCAGCGCTGTTCCCATCCCCCCAATTCCCCAATAAAAATCTTTAAATAAAGAATAGAGGGGCCTGGTGTGCTGCCCATGGTGGGGCGGCTGGTGGTGGGATGTGCTGGGAGAGTGGAGCTGGAAGAGAGAGGCTGCAGGGTGAAGAGGTCCCAAATCTCCGGCTGTCTTAGTCAGTGGCCAGTCCTAGCCTTGGGGCTACTGTAATTGTCAGGCTTTGGGGATTAAAGCCACATACCAGAGCCTGGTGAATGCAAGTACAGGCCCCCTCAAAGGGGCTTCCAAGGAGAATCATTGCAGCTATTATAAAGAGACTCAGCCCCCTCAAAATAGCCAGGACACAGCTGAAGGCAGCAGGGGTTCTGTGCGGGGTCCCTGCCCCAGGAGGGCACATGGAGACCCCACCACTGAGTGTCCACTCTGTGCACACCCATGCTTCTTGCAGAGAACCTGGGAGGAGGGCTTCTCCCCACTTCACAGGTGGGGAGGGTGAGGCTTGGGGAGAAGCCGGACTTTGTACTGCCCACCCTCTGCTTCAGACTCCCCTGAGGCCTGCGTGCACCCGGCCTCAAGCTTCCTGAATCTCCAAGCTTCCTAAATCCCTGTGGCAAAGTTGACAAGGGGTCTCTGTGCAGCGTGGAGCCTCAGTCAGGAACCCATCACAGAAAAACCACCTCTCCGTCTCTAAAACGCCAAGTAAATCAGTGGGAACACAAAAATTCCTGAACTTCATGACTGGGCGGCGTCCATGTGAGGTGAGGTTGACCTCCGTCACCCCAGGATGTTGTCTGTGGGGGGACGAGCTTCCTCTCAGAGCCTGGACACTGCCTGCCCTCCCCTCACACCACCAGCCTGTCCTGTGACCGCCCCAGGGCACACTTCCCTCTGGAACTTCCCAGCCATGACCCGAGTCTATCTCAGGCTGTGTGAAGTTGGGAGCACCTGCCTTAGAGGGAGGACGCCTGGGGCCAAATCCTGCCTATGCCTCCGCAGCTCTTGGCCTCAGTTTTCTCATCTGTAAGATGGGAATCCATCATGTCCAGCCTGGCTCGCGGCTGGGGCTTTCTGAAGAGAAACCTGGTGAGGGTCTTATTTCTGGCTGGCTGGTTGGAACAGCTCCCTCAGCCTCCTGACGCTTGACAAACTTTGTATTTTGCTTAGGACAGCGACTGTCTTTCTGTCCTCAAAGGAGATTTGGGCACAGACACACAGAGTGTGGTTCATACATGCTCCCCAAGAGAGCTGGGACACAAGTCCACCCCCCACAGCAATCCTCACAGGCTGCTTAAGAACCTTGGTCCAAGCTCACACTCTCAGCCTGGCATTTGAAGCCGAGACCTGACCTGCTGACATTTGCGGAAGGGTGGCCCTCCATGCCAGAGGACCCTGGCCTCCAGGAAGCCTTCTTACTTCCTGGGTGAGCAGTATACTTGGGGATGCCCCCAGCTCTGGTCCATCTCTACCCAACTGGCACTGGGGGAGGGCAGGGAGACGAGCATGAGAACAAAAATTCTGCTTAGGAACAAAACTTGAATCCCAGCGTCATGGGCATTTGGTTGCCCCTTTGTTGAACAGGGGAAATAATGACACTCTTCCCGTGGGTTTGTCACATGAGGCCTGGCATCGAGATGACGCGTGTCAGGTGCTAGTGCAGGGTGGGGTACGGTTGGCTGTGGCCACCATGAATGGCCGTCATAAAGGTGCCCATGGGAAGGGCGGGGGCAGCCACAGCCTATCAGGGCTGGATCTAGCCGGGTGGCCCCGCAGCAAACAACACGGAGCCCTTCCTACTTGGTTCTCAGATACGCAGGCCTGAGCCTCCCTCCACTGCCCCATCAGGACACTGGGCTGGGGACACCGGCAAGGGCTGGGGTCCGAGGAGAGCGTGGCCCTTGCCCCAGCCCCTCAGTTAGTTGTTACAAGCACATGAGCATCACACAGGAGACACCAGCTCCTCTCTTCCATGGAGGCCCAGAGAGGTGACTGCTCTGTCCACGGTCACAGGACTGGCCGTCACAGCCAGGAGCCAATCCCAGGGCAAGCTGCCTCCAAGGGCCACACTCTTTTTTGCCTTTGTCTTATAGTACATTTTTAAGGATCATGAAATAGTTTTTAAAAGAGGCTGATTTGAGGAAACCTCCCACGGCTGCCCCTTCCCTGCCAGATTGAATAAATCTGCCCGCTCTTGCTGATTCCCACTTGCTCTGGGAGCAGGTAGGGCAGGGTGAGAGTGGAGGGAGAGGAAGGGGGCTGGGCGGCAGGACAGTCAGGCCCAGCAGCCCCAGGAGGCCCCAAGAAGCCAGGCAGGGCTGGGCGGGGTGGGGAGGAAGGCTGCCACAGCATGCGGCTCTGCAGGCCAAAATAGCAGAAGGGGAAGTGGGCAGTTTTCATATGAACAAGGTTTGTAACAAGCCAGCTGTGGGAAAGCCCTCGGTGATGGGCTGAGTGGGCCTCAGTGTCTGAGCCGCCTGCCCAAAAGCCCCTTTGAGATGATACTGCCCACTCTCCCAGCCCTTGTCATGTTGTAGATGGGGGAAACTGAGGCCCATCAGGGCCGCAGGACAGGCTGAGAGGTGAGGGTGGAGCAAGAGGTCCAGTCTGAGCCTTGGGAAGGCTTTTTCCGTTGGGGTGTGCTGTGGGGTGTGTTCTGTTTTCCCAAATAACCTTGACCTTCACATTGAGACTGGCCGAGAGGTCTCTAAATGGAGGCTTTCTCAATGCTCAGGGGGCCTGGGCAGCCCTTGTCCCAGGGCAGAGGTGGGGGATGAAGGCCAGGGACACTTGTGTTCACAAGACGTGGGCACAAGGAGCTCCCCAGGGCCTACAGCCTCGCAGAGCCCCAGCAGGGAGCTGGCAGGCCAGGCTGGGAAATTGGTGGGGGCAGCAGGGATAGTTGCTTCCGTCTGGCCTGGGCAGGACCTGGGCATGCTTGCCTGTAGGGTCTAACCCGTCGTCTCATAGCCCAGGGGCAGGGATGTTACAGTCCCGTTTTACAGATGAAGAAACCAAGGCTTATGGCCTGGACCTAGGCAGCCACTGTCCCGGCCCTTCACCAATCTCTGGAAGTTACAGGACCACCCTGGGGGCTTCCCAGGGCTGTGCAGGCTGGGCTGGGGAAGGCGAGGGCAGGAAAGTGGCCCGAGCCCCAGAAACAGGGTGCGCCTCTGAGTGCCACAGGGTCAGGTCAGGGCTGAGGCGTCCTGATATCTTCCCACCCCACCAAGTGGGCCGCCAAGTGCTCCTGCTGGGCCAGCGGGGTCACTCCAACCCTCATGGGGTGTTGCGGGTGGTGGGTGGGGGGCAGCCTCAGGACCTCTGCCCAGGGCCAGCCTCTGGGCACTCTTGGGGAAGGCTTACCTGAGAGTCGGGGGCTGTTCACGGCAACCACCTCATCCTGAGCCCACACACCTGCCCGAGCTGACGCTAATGCTGCAAACACTGTATGTCAGGGCAGCAGGCAAGACGGCGGGCTTCCTGTCAGCCACTGAATCATCCCTCACACATCCGCTGCCCTGCCGGACAGGCTCTGCTGTGAACAGGCGGAGACACACACACACACACACACACACACACACACACACACGAGTCACAGGGAGAAGCAGGCACACAAGGACAGGAAGACAGAATGAAATGGGGATGTTCACACGGACACACACAGGCAGTGAGGGGGTAGGAAGACATGCAGAAGCACACACGAACAGACCTAAACATAGAAATACACACCCACACTGAACACACACACACACACACACACAGATACCCAGAGACACAGAGAACCAGAGAGAGAGACAGAGCCCGAGAAAGAGATACAGGTGGGGAGAGGATGAGGAAGGGAAACACACACACAACATACACAGAGACACGGAGAGGGATAGGGAGAGACAGGCAGAAACTGAGCCTGAGGTCAACCAAGAGACTCAGGCTCAGAGGGAGAGGAAAGACACAGAAAGACAGAGACAGAGCAACCCCCAGACTGTCAGAAACACACACAGAGTGAGGGGACCAGAGACAGAGATAGACACTTGGAGAGCAAGAGTCCCAAGAATGAGACATACAGTACACACACACACACACACACACACACACACACACACAGAGAACATAAGACATGGGTGGACAGGGCAGCCAGAACAAATGGCTTAAGACAAAGACAGCTGACAAAGGAATGGATAGCATTAGAGAGAGCAAGACAGGGAGCCAAGCTGAAGGACAGAAGGAAGGACAATCACAGCTCTTCCTCCTGGGAGCTACATCTCATCAGCCCCCCTTTCCAGATGAGGCTCACGGGGGCACGGAGCAGGGTGGCAGCACGAGCAGTGTGACCTCAGCCCCACTCTGACCGGCTCTGCGCCTGCGCCAGCCCCTTCCCTCATCTGTGGAAGGTGCGATGTGAGGTGTGGGAGGCACGGCTCCCTGGAAGAGATGGGGAACCACATGAGTCGTGCTGGAGTGCTCATTCTGCTGGTCATTAGTAACTTGACCAAGGCCACGGAACTGTAAGTGGCACCCCACTCACCAGAGACCCCAGGGAAGCCCTCGAGGGCACCCCGACTCCCCATCAGTCTGGCACTTCAGAGGGGCTCTGGGGGCCCCTCTCGGCCTGGGCCTGGGTGTCTCTTGTGGCCCCAGCTGGGGGTGGCCAAGACCTCCCACAGCCCAGGCCCAGCCAGGGCTGGCGAAGGGGGAAGTGCCGACAGAAGGCCCCACCGTGACTTAAACAGAAACCAGGATCTGGGCCCACTGCTGCCACCCCATGGGGGAGAAGGGCAGCACATGGACTGGAGCTTGTTTTGGGAGATCCCGCGGGCCCTCAGCCCCAGGGGTTTGTCCCCATCCCTGTACATGGTGAGACTGGGATTAAACCAACCCCACCTGACTCCCAAACCTGTGCCCTTGCAGTCACCGCCACACTCCTCATTCCACGTGGGCAACGCTACATTTAATCCCCAGGTCACTCTTGCCAGCTGGATGTTAGTTTCTTATACAGGCGAGAAGGCTTGTAGAGGACAGCTGGATTTGACCCAGACCCCAAAGCTTCCAAAGCCCATGGTCTTTCCACTATCCCCGAGTGCAGGGCCATCAGTGCGTGCATGCCAGCAGCACTCCTCACTGGGCTGCCTGTCTGGCCCTCCTCGAACAACTGGACAAGCCTTTGAAGGTTTCCATCAGTCCCTGGACCATGTGGCTCTCGGGGTTCCTGCTGGCGGAGACGGTCAGAAGCTCCATGTCTAACGGGAATGGAGTTGTGCTCTATACTCTTGTCTGGGGCTGTAGCAATGGCAGATGCAGGAGCAGGAACCTCCGACCACTGGCAAAGTCTCCAGGTCCGTCCCGTGTGACCAGGGCCCCTTTGGACCTGCTCTGCTCTGAGCCCACTGTCCACCTACAAAAATTCAGACTCTTTCTGGCTCTGAATAGAAGGACCCTGCCCCCTTTCTAGGCAATTCTCAAATTCCTCCAAGTTCATTTTATTTATAAACCATTCAGTTGTGAATCAGAAAATAAGCTTTAAAAAACTAGACAGTTTATGTCCAGTTGTATAACTTCCAGTGCACTTTTTTTTAACAATTCAGTGGGTTTTGGTATATTACATTATAACAAAATTTACCATTTTAACCATTTTTAACTGTGCATTAATTATACTCATAACGTTGTACAACTTTTCATCACTCCTAACAGGGCTACTTGGTTTTTCAGGTCACAGGTGAGGAAGTTTTGTACAGTTTTAGAAGGTACCTAGATAGTACTGCTACAGCTCCAAGAGCTCCGAACAGTTCCAAGGCTGGGAACCTCCTGTGGTCACAAGTCCTTGAAAGGCTGACGGGGAGCTATGGTTTTTTTTCAGGGAATTCATTCTAGAAGCCCCTGGAGGCCACTGTGAAGCTGACTGCCACCCCCAACTCAAGGTGCCAGTGGGCATCACTCCTGCCCCTCATGCCCAGCCATCTGTGACATTTCTCTCTGGTCTCACTACCCAGTGGAACCTAGACTATCCCATTTTTCTGCCTCCTCCCAATTTTTTTTGGTCATGTTATTTCTTAAGTGTTTTATGTATTTAAACAAGTATCATGCTGTCTATAAGCACTTGGGAGGAATTTTTCATCTATTACCATAGCCATAACCCATCCATATTGTTGAGTTGTTGTAGTTCATTCCTTTAGACTGCTGTACAATATTCCATCTGAATATAGTTTTTGCTGCCATGTTATTTTTCTTGGATACATACCTGGGAGGGGAACCACTGGGCTAGCATATGGGAACAAATTTTCAAGTTCATTCCCAGTGGCTACACCCATTTATATTCTCATCTGTGACATGAGAACCCACACTCTCCAGCAACTGGTCAGGCTTCCAGACTTTTGCCATTTGAATGGGTGCAAACCGTATTTTCTTTATTTGTAGTCTTGATTTACGATTCCTTGAAAGCCAATGTGGCTGAACATAATTTTTTGGCCACGTTTTTCCTTCTGTGAAATGTTAATGTTTTGCTTTGTTTTCTATTGGGTTTTCTTTCAGCGATTTGCAGGAATTCTTCAGACCGTCACTTTTTAGTTTGTAACTTGTCTTTTTCTTTTTTGTTTTGATAAAGTACTTTGTAAAAAAAAAATCTAGTGAGTACATTCTTAATTTCAAGAGTACAATGCATGTGAGAAAGACTTTTACCAATTCCGAAAAATCTTAGTGCTATTTACAGAAACTCTGGGCTACTTAAAAGCTTCTCTGATCTTCCCCACTCCCAACCCCATTTAGAAGGACAAGCTTCTAGGTCAGTAATGATTTGAACATTTTATTAACAGGTAAAGGAAATAAATTCTCTCCAATGTCCAAACTGAAAACCAAAGAGTCTGCCATTGTGAAAGTTTGCTTTTATTTGTATATTTAATATTTTACAGTTAGAGCGTGGTTACAGATAGGGGAAGAGATTAGTAGTAGGTTATAATTAAGTACATAATCATCATTATTTTTATTCATTTTCATGACAAAAAATTGCATAAGGAAGACTCTATGCTACTGGATGTATTTATAAGCCTGTTAGCCTCACACAAGTGAGAAGTAACTGAAACATCTCAACATTGGTCAGGAAAACATGATAGAGAAAAGCTCCTCACCAAAACAGGACACACATGACCAGGCCCAGGCCAGCCGCTTCTTTAAGCTGGAGGAGCCCAGCTGACCGAGCAAACTGCCCTCTGTGCAGTCTCCCTCTAGGACAGCGGTTCTCAACCTGTGGGTCGCAACCCCTTTGGGGGTCGAACGACCCTTTCACAGGGGTCGCCTAAGACCATCGGAAAACAAAAAGATACTTACAATTCCTAACAGTAGCAAAATTACAGTAATAGAGTAGCAACAAAAATAATTTTATGGTTGGGGGTCACCACATGAGGAACTGTATTAAGGGGTCGCGGCATTAGGAAGGTTGAGAACCGCAGTTCTAGACTTAATCTCTACCAAGTAATCTCCTTTACTGAGAACACCAGGTTACTCCCCAGAAATCACCAATGAAAAGTGGACACTAGGTAACAATTTCAACCTCTCTCCTCCACCCAAATGCCCACCTCCTGACCCCTTCCCCCTTTCTGCCTCTGTGCCCTAAGACCTCCCTGAAGAAACAAGCATCTGAGTCATGATGGGAAACCCAAGCTTCTGGAATTCTGCTGTGGAAACTATTCCTTTCCTACCACCTGGAGAAACAATCTGGCCTCTGACAAAATGGACTCCGAGGTAAGAACATTCTTAGAAACCTAAGTCCCTCATTAAAAGGGCCTCATTTGGAACTTGATTAAAATGTCTCCGAAGCCAGCTGAAGAATAGCAGAGAAATCAGGCATCAACTACCTGGAACATTCACATAGTTGATACAAACGTTTATAAAAATGACCCTATTTATTTGGGGAAAGATGTACCCTCCTCTCTGAATTCGGTTACTTAGGGATGGAATGTGGATACTAAAATATTTTTTGTGATAGTTAATATTCCAGAAATATTACACACCAAGGGATAGGTGCTTGTGAGAAGTAACCATTGCAGTTATAGCAGCCTCTGTGGTGAGGCAGGAAGACAGCTGCACAGGAGTTTCATTTCATTTCAACTTTAAGAAATCTCTGAATTCCTGGGCTGGTCGAGTGGCTCAGTTGGTTAAGAGCTCGTTTCGGAGCACTAGCTCTGAGCAGCAGGGCCGCTGTTTGGATCCCACATTAAGGGCCAGTAACGCTGCGCTCTCTACAGCTAAGATGATGAATAGCAGCTCGACCTGGAGCTGGGCTGCTGAGTCGAAGGCGTCTGCGTAGACTGCAGTGGGCTGCCGTGAGCTACATGAGTGGCTGGCAGCCAGTGAGAGCTGCTGTGAGCGGCCGACCAATGACCGGTGACCGATTGCCTCACCTGGGAAGAGCACAATGATCTTAACAACATGGGCCAGTGAAGCTAGACTGAAGAACAAAACAGCAATTTGTTTACCTGTCTGTTCTCCTTCCCCGATTCCCCAATGCTGTTCCCCTTCAATTCCCCAATAAAATCTTTTATATTTTTAATTTTTTTTATTGGGGAACTGGGGGGATGGGAACAGTGCTGGGGAATTGGGGGAAGGAGAACAGACAAGTTGCTGTCGTTTTGTTCTTCAGTCTAGTTGTGGAGGATGTTGCTTCCTGGCCCAAGTTGGCACCATCATTGCGCTCTTCCCGGGCGCGGCACATCAGTCGCCGGCTTCTGGACGGAGCGGCTGCTGGCTAAATACGGTAGCCCATGGCAACCCACTGCCACAGGGGCTGCAGCCTACACAGTCGCCGGCAACTCACAGCGGCCCAACTCCAGGTCGAGCTGTTGTTCAGAATCTTAGCTGGGGAGGGCAATGTCACTGGCCCTCATATGTGGGATCCGAACCGGGGCCCTCTGGCGTCCCAAGCCAGTTCTTAACCATCACGCCACTTGGCCGGTCCCCCAATAAAATCTTTTAAAAATAAAAAAGAAATCTCTGAATTCCTGGGAAACCTACCTAACCCTTTCAAGGGCCTGAACATTCCACAGGCCCTTCACAGACATGGGCATCCAGAACCTTTTTGGAAAGGAGCCTCAGAGTTGGAATTCAGGCTTCTGGCCAGCAGCGTGAGGAAATCCCTCCAGGAGACCAAGTTCCAACTAGGGCAGTCTCAGGGATTCTCCCCATAAAGAAAACACCAGCAGGCATCACATCTTCTCTGTGCTCTTGCCTGGGGAGCAGATGAATTAAACAGCGACTCACGCACTTGCAGCAACAGCACCCACTCCTCCTGCCTTATTTCTCTACATCAAGTGGCAGTCATGGCTCTCACCTTAGGTTAGGGAGTTCTGCACGGTGCCAGGTCCTCTAACCACCACCCTCCCCCTCAGCCAGGCCTCCCGAGAGCTCAGAGCTCTGCACCTTGCCCAGTCATAAAACCACCAAACTACACAGCAGTGCTTCCAAAACATATGATCTGCCATGGAGTAGCACCCATCACCGTCATGAAGAGTACCTAGAATTTCTTCTAAAAATAAGCAGTTAAAAAAAAAGCAGGTGGGGCCAGCCGAGTGGTGTGTTGGTGAAGAGTTGGCTTGGGACGCCAGCTCTGAGCAGCAGGGCCCGTTTGGATCCCACATGAGGGCCAGTGACACTGCCCTCTACAGCCAAGACAGTGAACAACAGCTCAACCTGGAGCTGGGCTGCCTTGAGTTGCTGGCAATGGTGTAGGCTGCAGCCCCTGCTGCAGTGGGCTGCCATAAGCTACCGTGTGTGGCTGGCAGCCAGCGTGAGCAGCCAGCAGCCGGTGTGAGCGGCCATCCAGAGGCCGGCGACCGATCTGCCTCAGCCGAGAAGAGTGCAATGACAATACCAAACATGGGCCAGTGAAGCAACGTCCTCCACAACTAGACTGAAGAACAAAACAGCAGCAACTTGTCTGTTCCCCTTCCGATTCCCCAGCGCTGTTCTCCTCCCCCAATTCCCCAATAAAATCTTAAAAAAAAAAAAAAGAAAAAAAGAAAAAAGAAAAGCAGGTGCAAATTATGCAAATACTTGATTTCTTCCATACTGGGAACAAAGTCCCTTTACTCAACCAAAAGCTACAGCCATACCATAGGTAAGGTTTCTGTGTTAGGAAAGTTACATTTTTCGGAAATGGGAGAGGGAAGGAAGCTGGCATCCTATTTCTACTAATTTCACTAATCCTTTAACTTCCAAAAGCAAGATGCTTTTCACTCAAATTAAGAGTACACTCTACTAAATATGGATGCTGCTTCCCAAACCTAAAATTGTTAATTTCATGAGTAGCTATAAAGAACTCAAAAATAAAGACAAGCATTAAATATTACGTAAGGTTTTCTTTTATTTAAAAGATCATTCACAAAATACCATATCCATAGATTTACTTTCTGTCATATAGCTGAATGTGTTAAGTGTTTGGAATTCCATTCTTACATTTAAAAGTCAACCGGATTGCCCAGTTTAGATGAATTTGTTTTGTTCTTAATCTTTTCCACATTGAAGATGTAAGTAGGTCATCTGAAAGCATCAGGTTTGATTACAACCACATAATGCATGTCTTTCTTAAGTTAAGTATTGGTGTTACACAAATGGTTCTTATTTCAGAAGCAAAGATGACAGGTGGAAGGAAAGAAGGGAGAGTTCTGTAAATTGCTGAGACCTTGTAACAAAGACAGAGGAAGAGAAGCCAAGGACGCCAGCTAGTGACGGACTACTACCTAAGCACACTGCGCTGCGGAGGCCCGGCTACCCCTCAGCCCTCCATGGGTCATGCTGGTGAGGGTCTCTAGCTGCTAGCTGACCCCGAATGCTCCCAATGGGACGGACTGGGACTCGGGTGCTAAAGAATTAAATTTGTTCACACATAGTTATTCAAGCTCAAAAGCTACTGCCTAGCCCCTAGCCCTAGGTAAATGCTAAACACTGTACGTGGGAAGAATAAATTTTGCCCCAAAGATGAGACCTAGTAACTTACAGCCACCTACCAGTTATTTTAAGGTTTCTGACAGCTCTGCATAGTAAAATTCTCAATTCATCAAGTGAAACAATAAAGTGCCAGATTCTAGGCCCATTTTCATTATAAAATTAAGGGATGGTGGGAAGCACAGTATTTCATTGTTACTTATACCAGGGAACAAATCAACAAGGGAGAGACGACAGGAATTTGGATCAAGCTATGTCAACACTATAAAGTGAGCCCAGCAAAGCTCTACCACCACCACCGCACTGCCCCAAAGCACCTGTGCCCAGCGGAAGGGAAACCTGCGGCAGGCAGCTCATTACATCCAGCTGGACAGAGGAGCCTCTGATACAGCCAGGGAACGGAAGAAACCAGTTTAGACATGGTATCGAAAAAGCAGTAAGAAAATGTGTGAACACAGTAGTGCATTTAACTGATCTTCTAGGTGAACTCCCCACCACCATTTCACATGACTCTTTTAGGTTTCACCGTCTGAAATTTGAGCCTATTCTGCTTGCGTAATCCACTTGGGGAGGGGGTAGCAGAGACAGGGCTACCTATAAATAGGGATGGGAAGGAGTTTGCGAGGATCAACAGAAATTTGTTACCCTTGTTTTGAAAACAAGCTGCCTCAAATTCTGTACGTTGATCACAGCTGAATAAAAACAAGATGCTATCCAATTTGTGACTTCTTTTCTGTTTCTTTTTGTGGAAGCCACAGCAATACAGAACTCAACATGCAGGTCAGAAGAGAAGCACTGAGAAAAATCAAAGGAACCACCGGGGTCTGGCCAGTGTGTCTGAAGTGAAGAGAGAAAGCAAAGGAAAAAGATGAAGCAGCACCTCAACCTAAAGAGCTCCCACATGGCGGCTGCCTTTGTCCCTCTAGAGAAACTCATGTGCTGGAAGGAAACAAGGAGCAAGAAGGAAAAAAGGACAGAAGGAAAGTGGGGGAAGTTGCAGGGGGAAAAAAAAAGCACAAATCAGGCACTAGACACAGCAAAGCCAAGAATGTACTAAAAACCACTTGTTAACGGCTGACATGCACTCACAAGCTCTGTTTCCTTTGTAAGAAAGGAGGACAAAGGTCAGGCGCAGGAATGGTAACTGCAGGACTGCCGGGCCGGCTAGCCAGGCTGCGGTCTCGCTCTAACTCCCCCCCACCCGTGCCCTATTCCCTCTCAACCGCAGGCTCATTCCTGCTCCTTTTGAACCACTTCCTCTCTGGGCCGGGCTCCTCCGAAGATAGCAGAGTTGGGATTGGCTACTTGGTTGAGGGGCGTTGCAACTGTTCGAGGTTTAAGCTGAAGCCGTGGTCTCTGTGCTCTTTCCTCTGGTGGGGAAAAAACATGAGTTATAAAAAATGGATCCCATTCTCCATCGGGCAAAATGACCAAACTGATGCTGATCTCTACAGCCCAGCCCACTTTCTAAAAATTAACAGCCGTGTAGAACTATTCCATCCCTAGATATGCTTACTATTTAACAATAAACTTACTATTTAAGACTAAGGGTGGTCTACAGTCTGTGCGCGGCCTAAATAGGCCAATGTCCATGGGGTGCAGACAAAGTATCATGGAAAGGCGCCCTCCATTTACAAGTTGTCACCATACCTTCTGTTGGTTCTCTGAAATCCATATTGGGCCCTCGAAGGGGAGGGCCATCTCTGAAACGACTCCCCATTGGGGGGCCCGTTCGCCGTTCACCAGGGCGACTCCCTCCCCTGCCTCCTAAGAAGTCATCCCTGAAGCCTGAAGAAGGAAGATGACACCAAATTACTTTTTAAACTACGGTTTCAAAGCTGATTACATAGCTTGGTGAATTGTTTGACTTTAAATTTTAAATTCTTTAGTTTGTCCAGCATCTGAAGTTTTTCCAAAATACAGCATTGAAAATGAGTCCAAATGTCAATCTGCTGGGTAATTTCAATACTAACAGAATTTTTAAATAAAAAAAGAGTCTTAGGAGAGAAAAATAAAATAAGCTGTTTAAATTCTTAGCTTGCAGAATAAGTGGAAAAACACCATGAGGCTATATTCTAACATGGCTTAAAACAATACAAAACTCCTCACAACACATTTTATTCTGTTTTCTAATATAAATTCTATAGTTATTAAAAAGATAAACCTGAAATTTTGAAATTACAATTTAGAATGCAAAATCACAAGAAAAAAACTAGATACAAAGACAAAATAAAAAGACTAAGTCACCTCTGGGTGACACTCCCCATTTTCCTGTTCCTGCTGCGTTTCAGTGTGGATCATTCTAAAAGCAAAGCACCTGTGTGGTAAACAAAGCAGTTATCCAAGTAAGGCCCACTCCCTAAGGGGGGCAAGCTGAAGAGAGGAGAGCAACTCACACCCGATCCGGGCCTCACCTCCTCTGGCTGCAAAGGGGTTTTCCCCATTCATTTGTGTATCTGCTAAAACAATTACCAACAGAAGTAAAATGCATCTCATTTAGAAATGTTAAGAGATTACAATTCTCATCAGTGTGTAGAAAAAAAGAGTATTTTCTCAACAGACTATAGGACCCTTAGGCTTTTAGTTTTATATTTAAGTCAAAGTCTTTCAGTTATAGGAGTTTAAGTTAAACTTTTAATAATATGGCCTATTGAAATTAGAGTTAACTTCTAGTAAAAATTTCGGAAACAAGATTATAATTAAACCAATGAGCTTGCCCCCTCTGTTTAAGCTCCCAAAGGTGACTACTTTTACTCACTCCAGGGATGGTACCATTGTTCAAAGTTTTAAGGGACCAGATCTATGAGATGAAGCCTGAGCCCGAGGCGTCTTCTTCTATATGATCCCCCTTATTCAGAGATTTCGTATCTGCAAATTCATCTACTTGCTAAAACTAACTTATAACCCCAATCAACACTTGCAGCGTTGTGCTGTCGTTCAGACAATGTATACAGCAGTGAGAGATTTGAGTCACCTGACACCCATGTTCTCAGCAGAGGTAAAACAAGGCAATACTCGGCCTTCCTGTTTCAGCTCATACTGTAAATAGATCCTTTTCACGATCAATTTAGTGCAAGGTTATTTGCTCTTGTACTTTTGGTTGGGGCTTTCTCTTGAAAATGACCCCCAAACAGAGCTGTCTAGTGTCCCTAAGTGCAAGAAAGCTGTGATGTGTCTTAGGGAGAAAATACATACACAGTAGAAAAGCTTCATTCAGGGAGAGTTACAGTAGTGCTGTTGGTTGTGAATTCAATGTTAATAAATCAACAATATATATGAAATGAGGTCTCTTTAAACAGAAACACATTAGATAAGTGTACGTATTGAGCAGCTGACAAGCAGGAACCTGACCTTGTTATTTCCCTGGGGAGCAGTGGTTCAGTATTTAACTTGACTTTTGAGGTGATTCTATGGAACCCAACTACCGCTTACAGGAGAATCAACTCTATCTGCAATGGTGGAACTTTTCCTGTTCTCTATGGATGGTGAGGATTTTGTAAAAAGACCAAGTTACCTGAATGAAACCCACCCAGTTCAGAGACTGATTTGAACAATATCAATTTTAATAAAACAAGCAATGAAATGAAGACCAAATACACTGATTTTGGGGAAAACACATTGGGATGCATACAGTCAAATATAAGGTTCTTCACCAAGTTTTTTAACCTGACACTTTCCCCAAATTATCTAAACTGTGAAGCGTACCTTTCCACGTGAGCATGGAAGTAAATTTACTTTCCCTTAATGAGATTAAGTAATTTTTGCTACCAGTGTTTAGCATAAAGCAAACCAGCTCACACCCACACTGACAAGGCCGATAAACACACTGCTGCTTTGTCCAGATGTATGAGACAAAGTGCAGTAGAGGAAAAAAAACCAGTGTACATTAATATCAGTGACAGCTTCATTTCAAAATATCCGACAATACTAGCAATTGGAAGATTAGGAGAGAAAGGCAAGGCTGACATTAACAAATACCTTTTAATGAAGTTTGATGACAGATTTCTAGGAGGCACACCACTCATGAGGATGTTCTGAGTTTTCTTTACAAAGCTTAGTTTAACACACTGGCTATTTCTGGTAGTAGCACTTTCAAAATTTTTGTTTTCTTTGTATTTTTTGATAATGCTTGATATTTTTCTTTTACAATGAGCAGGTATCATTAAAAAAAATAGCATCATTCTTTTAAAGAGTAAAAGAAGATCTACTTTTACAAATATGTCCTTAGGCATTACTCCACCGTGTGTGCACTTCACCAAGATTGGTAGTGGCACGGTAGTTTCTCTGGCTATGTTCACGGTATGTCTCTGCTTCAGAGAGTAAAAGCACAAACTAAGCCAACAGTAGAAAGGCTTTACGGTAAAACCTTGGATTGTGAGTAACGCGGTTTGCAAGTGTTCTGCAAGACGAGCAAACATTTCTAATACATTTTAACGTGGTAAACGAGTGATGTCTTGCAATACGAGTAGTTTGTTTCCGTAACGAGTTATGCTCGCAAACCAAGATATTACTGTAGTTACTTAACTTCCACAGTTCCAGAGCTACGAGCTCACTGTGCTATTTCCATGGTAACCAGGAAATGCACACCTGGCAGGTCAGGTCAAAGACCACCACTCATCGAGCCACTAACTGCTGCACCTGAATTGGCTTTGAGAAGACCTTTGTTGCATATTTCAATCAGAGACTAACTTATACATAAAATTACAGGTTTACTGGATTATACTGTACTTTTATGAATAAGCTCATTTCTGATTGGCTAAAGGACTTTTAAAAATTAAATTATTCAATAGATATACACAGTCATCTGTTTAGCTAAAGCAGTTCTGGAAATACATTTAAAAAATCTTAAGACTCACAAGACACCCTGCACGTTTCCCCATACTTACCAATTACTTTATACTGAGTTTTGTTTCGATGAGGGGGTGGGTGGGTGTGTTCTCATCTTATATTAAGAGAGTGCAGAAATAACCTCAAGTTTATAGGAAACAGACTTATTTTACATTTTCTATATTTTTACTACATATATGAATTACTTTTATAATAAAAAAAAAGTAAAGAGATGAAGAAATGTTTAGGAGCGCTTTCAAAGCTGAGGCTTGGCATGCAAAATGACCTCGAGTTGAGCCGAGGCGGCGCCTACTGGTCTGCCTTGGTAAGGTAAGAAAAAGAATGGTCAAGTGGACAGTGCCTACCACTTAAGGGATAGGCGTTCCGGAAAAAGTAGGTACCAGGATTCTTACCATCTAACAGGGAGCCACTAGGAACCACAGTTATAAGGCTTTCTGTAGGTTTCTAGAGCCTCCGTACTATTTCTAGAAGTAACAGCACTTCTATTTGTGCCATACACACAAGAACCACCAAGGAGTTTCTTTGGGCTAAACCCTGAGGAAGGCTGCTGCAGGAGACAAAGGCATGGGTGGGAATGAAGGGCAGGCTAAGGAAAGGTAACAAGATAAGGTGGATCAGGCTGACTCACTCAGCGTGGAACCTTTCAAGCCCTACCCCACACAGTTAGGTCCTAACACAGGCTCACTGCACGCCTGGGTACCTTTCAGGAAAGCTTCATTTGTGAAAGAAACTACAGTAGTTGGGCCAGGCCGGCTACGCCCAGAAACGTACACCAGCAGCCAGGCCGCAGGCAGGGTTAAGAGGTGAGACTGTAAATACTGATACCGGAATTGAAGTCATCCCGGGACTCCCAGCCACCTCTAGATTCTCGAGGGCCACCCATTCCTGAGGACACACAAAAAAGATAAAGTTGAGGTTGGATCGTTACCCTGCTGCACAAACATGGAAAAATTCATCGGGACGATGTACAACTCATGGGATGCGAAGGTCAATGAAATTAAAGAGTTTTTGTTGCCAACGGGAAAAATAAAAACCCAGTAACCAAAAAATAACCCAAAAAACACCCAGGCTTGCAGAAGCACCGTCCACTCTAAGACTTTCCATGTTTTTACAAGCTCCCACAGACCTATGACACGGAGCTCTATTAGTAACCTTCCACGGTTGTAACCAATAGGCATACTGCAAGTTTGTGTTCAGTTTTAGAAGAACCAATCACCTCTGTCCTCTGGTCCACCTTTCCTGAATCCAAAGCCACCTTTATCTTGTTTTCTGCCTTCTGCAATGTCCACACGAAGTGACCGATCACCCAACAGCTAATGACAAGGGGAAAACAGTGTTAAATATTACAAGAAAAAAATCTCAACTGCTAACATGACAGAAAACCTGAAGATACTTACTGCACCATCATATGTCAAGGCTTCCTTAAGGGAATCCACCTCATCAAATTCTACATAGCAGAATCCTGCAAAAGAAAACAAACTCTATTTCTTCGAGGAATTCTGGGGTACATACATGGGGTGGGGCCCCTCTTCATACTGCTTCCCCATATCACAACTACCACTTTGCTGCATCAGGATGACTGTGGACTAGCAAAGCCAGAAAGGGCATGTTTACTTTTCAGTAAGTAGAACCTAGTTGGTATTCCTCCTCCTCAGTTATATTCTATCAGAAAGTGCTGATCAAACAGGCACTGAAATAGCAGCTGTGTTTTTATAAAGCTTTCTTCTTGTTTCAACCATAATATTAAAGCCTTTCTTGGATCACTCACTGCAGAGTTGTTGCTTCTGACTTCTGAATGGCTTTAATATAACCTAATTGGGGTTTTAAGACAGATTTCAAATTTGATACCAAACATGCTTTCAAGGAGGAGGTTGAAGGTGCCTTTTACTACTCAGGTAGCTGGTATAAAAACCACTGAATAAGCTTTTCCCTCTATTTGCAACACTCTTGTCTATGCCCCTTCTTTGCCTTCTGGAGTCTACATCTGGGTTAAGTCTACATCCCTGCCCTAACATGCTCACACTGCACCCTCTAACACCCACCCCTGCCAGAGTATCCTCATCCTGTGTGATGGTTACACTTTGCCTTCAAAGCCCACTAGACCACAAGTGCTCTGAAGGCTTGGGGCCAAACCTTTCCTGTCCCCCACATGCTCAGTAAGCACTTACTACCGCTTGGCTGGAGAGCATCCATTCCCCCACCCCTCCAGCCCCCGTGGATTTGATGTTTAGATAAAAACTATTCCCAAGTTCAGAGGCAACAACAGCCCAGTAACACATCTCACAACCTAGAGCTGCTGAAACTGAAGAGGATCCTCTATGAGACAAAGTCTAAGATCTGCTACTACTGATTCAGCCCAAAGGTTGGCTTCAACCCACACATTTTTACCTTAAGTTTGAATTCCTAATGCCTGTTACCAGACAAAATGGGTGGGATTGCTTTTACAAGCTCAACTGATATGTTGTTTTCATTATTTGATCACGTACTATAACAAGGCTTCAGGTTCTAAAGTAAAAAAGCTTTCAAAAAGATAAAAATATGACCTATACATATACCCACTCAGATAAGCAACACCTTGGCTTCTTGTATACTTCCCCACTGTACGACACCATAGTCACTCTACTTTTCATGGATGTACTTCTGGATAAATAATGTAAACCAAATGCCCGTGTACCTTGCATCATGCACTTAACTACTGGGCACATTTCCCTTCAGGCCACCTTGAAAGCTAGACGATAATGTCATTTGATTCTTCATTCTTATTCCTTCTTTGCTCAAGTGCCTGTAAGATACTAATCTATAGACACTAACTTTATCTGAAATTTGAGCCAACCCTCTCCCAAACACATACATGCTCTGAAGTCACAAAAATATAGTGACAACACTTATTTATGTTATCTTTTGGATTTTATAATAAATAACTAAATTACAGGAAAACTACCAAGAAAAATGTACAAGTTGGCTAAGGTGAAAGGCATCTGAAAAGTCCTCGGTTTAATCTGTTTACTTCTCTCCCAGGTAACTCCTTTACTAGCAGACAAGATTTCTATATAGGTCAAGCAAACAACAGATTTACTTGGGTGTATGCCCCCTATTTCTACAAACTAGATTATGTATAATATTTTCCCCCAAGTAAAGGGGGAAAGGCCCATGGGTTCAAGTGCTCTATTTATTTCAGCTACTTGGACTAGGCAAATATTTAAAACACGTTCAAAATCAGAGCCCTCTGGTTCACTAATACATTTTGGTTTAGGACTGCCTCCCCCCACCCCCCCATAATAATGTACAATAGGAATTCTCCCCAAACTCACCTTTAAATTTGTCTGTGTCTTTGTCTCTGACTAGCCGTACACTCCTTATGCTGAGATCCTTAAAGATAGCATCTATGTCGCCCTGAACTGTATTAAAAGGTAGATTTCCTACATATGCTGTGTAAGGGGGCTCTGTGGGCAGCTCCTTCTGGCCACGGGAACCATGGCCACCAGCACTGCCACGGGACCTAGGAGGGGAAACAGACAGGATTCAAGTTGGCCCATGCGTTTCCTGTCCCACATCAGGGACAATGAAAATGTCCCCCACTCAGCCACACCATCCAGGTGAAACGCTCCATTGTAACACACAACATCACCTGGAAATTATATGTCCTCCTAGGGCTCTCTTGTATTCACTTAGAATTAGCATCTGCAAAGCGTTTATATCCTAAAACCTAACTGCCTTCACACGCAATACCAAAACATGAACGGACTGTCCAGTCTCACTGCATTGCATTCGGGAGGGGTTACCAAAGCTCCTGAGGTTTTTTGTTTTCTTTAAAGATTTTATTGGGGAATCGGGGTAGGGGAACAGACAAGTTGCTGTCCTTTTGTTCTTCAGTCTAGTTGTGGAGGATGTCACTTCACTGGCCCATGTTGGTATTATCATCGCTCTCTTCCCGGGTGAGGCAGTTGCTTGCCAGCCATTGGACAGCTGCTCACGGCATCTCACGAAAGCTCACGCCTGCTGCTGGCCAGCCACACTGCAGCCTACGCCGTCACCTGCGACTCGCGGCAGCCCAGCTCCAGGTAGAGCTGTTGTTCACCATCTTAGCTGTAGAGGGTGCAGCGCCACTGGCCCTCATGTGTGGGAACCGAACCAGGGTCCTGCTGCTCAGAGCTGGTGTCCCAAGCCAACTCCTAACCAACGCGCCACTCAACCGGGGGCCCCGCTCCTGAGGTTTTAATGCGCTAACAATTGTTTCTTGCTACTGTCTGGTTATGGATAACCACACTCTAATAAAAATTTTAGATTTTGTGCAGCAAGTACTATTACTCTCCACTCCCCATGAATTACTTCAATGGGTCCTCAGACACACAGTGCGTATTACTAATCCATGTAAACCTCAATACCATTTCCTCAGATGTAACAAGAGTGGCTGACCTATCCTTGGTTACTGAGTTAAAAAGTGGCAAAGAAGGAACCGGCAAAAAAGGAACCTTGATTCTACGGCATCATCATCGCTATTTCGTAGAGGTAGCAGTTTAAATCCCAGCTCTGCCACTTACTAGCCATATGATCTTGAGGAGTTATGCAGCTTCTCTAAGCTTTATTTGTGAAATTGGGTTAATATTAACAAACACCTTGAGTTACTGAAAAACAACTATAAGGTGCTTCCTACACTGCCCGACACTGTGTATACATGTATAGAGTAACAAATACCATTATCACCGCCACCTACAACCTGAGGTTAAAAATGTTTTATTGACAATTAAAAAATTAGTGGGGCCATTATACATTTGTCCAAACCTATAGAATGTACAACACCAACAGTGAACCCTAATGTAACTGGACTTTGGGTGTTAATGATGTTATCAGTGTAGAGGTTCATGGATTGTAACAAGCAGGGCAAGAGGTATACAGGAACTCTGTAATTTCTGTTCAATTTTGCCACGAACCTAAAACTGCACTAAAATGTAGTCTATTAAAATAAATTAAGGAATGAATGGAGGGGGACCTCTTCTTTACATCAATAAGAATGCGAGCTAATAAACACAGAAGGAATCACGTAATTAGAAAATCACTACTCTAAAACCACCAACACAGTAATAACCGATTCAGACCAGGCTCATCAATGGAGGCACAAAGTACTGATAAACTGGTTTTGAGGGAGCAAGATACTTACACGGTCTCGAATTATCACTCTATAGATTATTAATCTCAAGGGGGGGGGGAGATTTCCTTCTCAAATGGAAAAATCTGGCAGTCACCACCATAACCAGGTAATTGCTAATAATGGGACAAGCTTACATTATATGCCTTTTCTATTGGCATGGATTCTTCAAATCTGTCAAAATCATGAAAGGCAAAAAAGGCTGGGAAACTAATGAAATATGACAACCAATGCTATGTATGATCTTGGATTCTGGAACAAACAGCTATAAAAGAAAAAGCAGATGAAGAAATTTGAATATGGCGTTATAGATACTGTATCAAAGTTAAATTTCTTAAAAGATACTTGGTACTGCAGTTAGTAGAATGCCCTTTTTCTCAAGAGAAACAAAGTATTTAGGAGTGAAGTGGCAAGAGAGCCAACATTTACCCATGCATATAATGTAATTAAATTTGGTCATTTTCTCTTCTTAAAAAAAAAAAAAAAAGACAGCCATCATTTATTTTCAAAGGGTTCAGCATAAAGGATATTGTAAGCATGGTGTGTATGTACATAAAATGTGAAACTTGTGAATAATCTATCAGAGTCCATTGTATCATTCTTTGAACTTTACTATAGATTTGAAAAATTTTCAAAATCAAATGTTTGCAGAATACAGGAGGAAAAAAGTAAAAAGGGAGGTATTGTTTATTTTTAAAGAGATATTTAAAACCAATTTCCTCACAACAATCAAAGATCTGCTCAAAGTCATCCTTTATGCAACGGGAATAGTAATTTAATGTCTTGGAAAGCAACTTGATTTCCATATGTTGCTAGAAATATGAAAAACTCCACATCTGCCTTGAAATAAATCCCAGGTAAATATCTGGTAATATATGTCATTCTTGAAGACATTTTTCTAAAACCCAAGCCATGATGTAATCCTTAGTTGGCTAAATTTTTGAAGTTTAATAATTCAAAATTCTGCTACTACCCAATAGGAAGTATTATTCTACATTCTGTTCTAAGAACACCAGAAAAATAGGTTTGTAAGTGAATTGCATCTCACGTCCCCCTCTCCCAAAGTTTAGCAATGTGACTTATTTTGCATTTCAATGCATTTCAACACTACTGCTAGTGCACAACGCTATTATTATCTCTATAACCATAAAATCTAAATTATTTTTAATAAGATACTCTTTGGGACTACATACTGAATATATAAAATACAGTATAAACATATATCTGATGGAAAACAGTCCCGGCCCTCAAGCAGCGCACAACTGAGTAGTACATATAAAACACAACTATATGTGCATACATGAGTGAATGTTTAT